TTTTAAATACAACCAAATCTGCTTTTTAAATACAACCAAATCTGCTTTTTAAATACAACCAAATCCGATTTTACTAATGAGATGCATTCATTTTGTCCTCCAGCAGAATAAGGGGTGCAGATTTTTTTTTTCAGAAAACATTTAAAAACAAACCTCGTGTGTGTAAAAGTTTAGAATTTTTTTTTTCTTAACATTCGAGTTATGCTGCAGCTTCTAAAACCGTCAAGTCCCAAATTAATTCGACAACCTGGACTCTCCAGGAACGACACTTTTACTTACATCTGGGAAGAAAGAAAAAAAAAAAAACCAGGCGAGAAGAGCTCAGATGGACTTTTCAGAAGTTGGTCATCTGGTGGTCAGCAGCTCCGACAGGCACGGCGGCTCCTGCTGCCTCACTTCTCCTGAAAACACCCAGATTTCCTCATCAACACGCGCACACGCAGTCACCGAATCGGGTCGGACCGAGCCGTGTCCTGCCGCTGGACGCTTGTTGGTCTTATTTGCAGCGCAGTCATCGAGACCCGCCGAGGAGGGAGAGCTGACTGGAAAAGTATGTGAGGGGCTTCKACGGCGGAGAGGCGCCCCCATCTGCCGACAATCCAGCTCTGCTCTGAGGAGAGAGGCACCAAGGGTGGGGGTGGGGTGGGGTGGGGGGCAGCCTGCTTCTGATGGGTCAAAGCTCCTAAATACATCCCCCCCACCCCACCCAGTAACTGTGCAGCTGCCTACAAGTCAAAGTTAACATGAAACAGCACTTCAGTCAGCTGTTTGTGAGCAGGAATAGCTGAGCTTAAAGGATTATTTAGGGATTTATTGCAAAAACATTAAAGGTACTTCTTGAAAAGCAGAAAAAAAAGTTTTCCGGATCTATACCAAATGATGCAGTTCACTTCAATAGTTTTCCAGACATAATGATGTGCAATTCTGAAATGCGGGTCCACGCTCAATGTAAACAAAGCACATGGGCTAGAAAAAAAAACACAYGTAAGTATGAGCGATTGACCTACATAAGGCTAATCTTATGTTTACACTGCAGGCCAAAATCACTCAAAACAAAAACCTGATCTGATTATGAGCCAGTTGTGGCCACTTTGGCCTGCAGTGAGAGACCATGTTCTGACACTGGGCTGCTCGTCAAGCATTCACAATACTGAGATGGTTCTTTTTTACTGTGTACATTTTTCGGCACGTGCCTTGTTCCACAATGTTTGTGCTATTTCAACAATTCATATATCAAAAYATTCAGCTCATGCCATGGCTCTATGACTTTTGTTATTTCAGCAACTTGTACTTTTTTCAGCTATTTAACTTTTATGGCCACACTTTTTTCTTTTTGAAAATGAATGGAGCTGTTTTCAACTTTTGAGCTATATGTTATAATTTCATTCTCTCATCAAAAACACACCCAGGATGTTGCTTTGACTCATGTGTGTTGGACAAATCCTTGAATTTCTTGTGGTAGTCATGTGGAGCTGGCTAAAGGCTTCATGGTACAAAGCACCGCCCATTTGTACAAAGCTCCTCCCTGAAGCTCAGGCTGCAGTCGAGTTATCGCCCCCACAGCGCACACGTCTCCTGAATCTTTGTTGTGACGAAGAGCTGAAGTGGGAGTGTTGAAAACAACAGGTCCTTAAGGAGACAGAGGCCGATTTCAAGATGTTTAGATTCAAAGTCAAATTTATTGTTGATATACACAGAGTTTTCAACCCCTCCACACACACACACACACACACACACA